CTGGTTTTGAGGACACCCATCAGACACACTCCCATCCCCAGATCTCAGTCCTGTTAAAAACTGGGAGATCTGCAGTTAAGGGCAGCACTGCATTTGTTATAACTACTTATAAAACCTCAACTAAAGGTGATTCAGGAACAAAAATATGGATAGGGATTGGGCTGCAAATATCTCACATGTTCTTGTGGAATATGTATCCGAGTCTTAATTGAGCTGCTCTTGCTACCTGCAAAGGCCCGACACATTGTGCAAGAGTGGGGGTTCCAGGAATTTTGCCACCAGGTGAATGTACACAGAATGCACACATGAGCTTTGCAATCTGGTTCTGGTTCATTAGCTGTGCTCTATTAATAACATAAGAACGCAGAGAGGAAGACAAGTGGGAACTAGGAGGGGGGCGCTTTGGAACTGATAACAGCAGGCACTTATTTACACAGAGAGTGGTGGGGGTCGGGTGCAGGCTTCTTTCGCGAAAGATCTGAATGATATCTTCTATTCACTTAGCTTCAAGCACAAGATCCTCCAGCCAGGACATCGAGGTCTAACAAACCGACCCGTGAGGCTCCTTTTTTCCTTAGTAACTGCGTCCCTTAGGCTAAGGATCATTTCTCAGAAGGCCTGAAAGTTTGTTCAGCCTCACCCCGTCGTCACGATCAGATGTATTAGGAAGATATCAGAATAACCGAGGCTTAGTGTGGCAGGTGTAGGCGACCGCAACAGAAGATAAGAAAGAAGCTGAAGCCAGCAGAAAAAGAAAACAGGAAGAACAGCAAGCCGAAATTATGACAGAAACGCGGCACAAACAACTAAAATAAAATAAAAAATTGTTGACTCCGCTTAGCTACTTATGTAAGCAAAAGCGTCCGTCAGTAATGATGACTCCGGGGTTCCTCGGCGCCGGGTGGGCGTGTAGCGTCGCCTGAACGCTTTGATTCGTGAATTTCTGAATTCCTCCGTTTTTGCATAGAATAAACACAAAATAATTATCTTAATTACAGCCACGAACTCACAGGAGATTCGTGCATCAGGCGATTATTTGAGGATTATCTGATCGCTTTCAATACCACGTTTTACGTTAATGTCCCGTCCATCTTACTCTGGTTAAAGGTGACTATTGAGGCCCGAGGCCCGCTCAAACTCCTGGCAAATCCGAAAAAAGACTCGCTATTTTTCGCATGTCGGCTCAACGTGAAGACCGTTAAATCCTGCATGGCGTTTCTTTGGGGAAACAAGCGTTACAAAACTAAATAAATAAAAATTCTTTTCTTTACCTGTCTCGCCACTCTCCATAGTTAGCAGTTATCGTGAGAACACAATCTTTTTTTTTCCCCGTCCGGGAACTCCTACGTCATATCCGGGAATCCACTGAAACTCTAGAAAACTCGATTTCCCAGTACACCTTGCCTCCAGGACGGATTGCGATTCACAAGAATATGTAGTTTTTAATGACGAGGTTTAAATATACGTTGTATTGAATTCGAAAAAAAAATCATGTACAATGTTAATAACCTTTTCTGTTGTAATTAACAAAGGTAATATATATATATTTATTGTACGTTGATTGTTCCTATTATTTCTGGTTGTTTTGTTGTGTTTATTCGTTGTATCTAACATCAAATGTTTATTTCTTTGTCTTTTTGGGGGGGTTGGGGGCAACTTTTAGTAGTTTTTGAGAACCTGCTATCCCAGCGCCTTAAATGGCTTGAAAAGGTTTACTAAAACAATTTCCTGTGCAGAACAAGAGCGTACCAGGTGACGTCCCCAATGATCATGTAGATCAACCGCTTGCAAGACCCGAAACAGCAGGTTTCGATCACGTCTCTGCCAGACCCGTTGCGCGAGATAACCTCACTCAGATTGCTACATAAATTAGTTTTTTTCCCCCTTAATGGTAGAACATGATGAAATAAAATAATAAGATACAAATAGCCCAGGAACTGTGCCGAAAGGAGCTGTTTGACTCCAAAGGCTCCCGACTTTGAAAAGCAGTACTTCCTTGATACAAAGAAGAGCGGGCAGTAGATTTGTAATTTAATATAATGACAATAACTCTTATTTTATGTTGCACTTTTAAAGGTGTATTCTCAAAGGATTTTACAGCAAGAAAAAACACAATTATAGAAGACAGCAGAATTACACAATTACAGTGAGGGTCTGGATTGCAGTAGGAATGTGAAGGGACAGACACAGAACCAAATAAATAAAACATTCTAAAGAAGAAGGATTTGAGTCTTGATTTGAAAGTGCTAAGGAAAGGTGACTCTCTGACACCCTTAGGGAGAGAATTCCAGAGCTTTAATGGTAACACAATAACATTTATGTTAGCTTATAAAGTGCAACATTGCATCATTCAGTATTCAGTATTTTTCAAAGTTCAATAAACAGCTTTGAGGATTATCTTGTCTTCGATCTTGTCTTCGATCTTGTATCAGATCTGCAAATCTGTGTGTAAAACATGTTCTCCTGCCTCTGTGCATGTGATGTTTCCAGACTTTTTAACACGTACTGTATATACAGACACTCATGTATCATTGAATAATGATGTAGAGTTCAACACCATGACACAGACACTCATACAGTGTAGAATAGAGTGGGACACTATTTAAAACTGAAGGTTCGGTTATTGTGATCCTCTGAGTCACCATATTATCCAAACATACATCAGACATTTTCTAGAAAAGTGTGCATCTTTTATTAAGAGAAACACGGGAGAAACACACTGATACCTGACAGTAGGGATATTAACAGTGTTGCAATAGGAAGTACTCTAATTTTAAACAGACACATATGCAGTTAGTGTCTCTTCCTCTTCCACCCCTCACCACTCTCACCCAGCTATAAAGCTCTCAGCTTCAGTTCCACAGAAAGGGACAGAGAGACAGATAGAAGGACAGACAACATTCGTCTACTGAACACAGCTCTGCTGGGAGTGACTATCCTGTCATTTTTTTGAGTGATTACTTTGATGCATTTCTCTTGCCTGAGCTAAATAGCAGCAATTTCAAATGAAAAAAGGCAGCACACACATTTACAGGTGGTGACATTGCTGCCTCGCAGTGCTGGGGCTGTGGGTTAAGTTCTGAATCTGGGGTTCTGTCTGTGTGGAGTTTGCATGTTCTCATGTTTTTTTTGTCCAGTTGCTCCAGTTTTCTCCCACTCTCCAAAGACACGCTGGTGGGTTAATGGCCTCCTAAAAAAAATGGTTCCGGGTGTGACTGTTTGTCTGTGTCTGCGTTTGTTGTACCCTGCCTTGCGCCTTGCTTGCCGGGACAGGCTCTGTGGTTAAAATATATCATTAGCAATTAAGAGAGAAAAAAACTTGTTTAACTTCCTTTTGCGTGAAGCATAATTTGGTCCCATTTTGTCACTGTCTGTCTTCACTTGATGTTAACCATCGGGAATCCAGAATGAAAAGGTCAGGAAAACAGGTTGGGACAACACCACTCATAAATATATACCACTCAAGAAACTAACTTAGGCAGCACTGTTAGAATTTGAGACAAACCCATTTCCATCCGGTGCTGAATTAGTCATATCGCCGATTTATTATCTGAGTGTTTCCGGCCGCACTGCTGTGTATTAATGATGTTATTTCTTCAGCGGATTCCCTGCAGATCATCAGAGGAAACGACGCAGCTCCTCACTCCAGGCCCTATGGCCTCCATACAGAAGAATGGGCAGCACTACTGCGGGGGATTCCTGGTTGCTAAGCAATGGGTGATGTCGGCCGTGCACTGCTTCACCGAGCAGTAAGTGCAGGGGGAGCTCGCTCCCCGGAAACAGCCATGTGCTCCCAGCACCCAAGGCAGCCAGCCTGCAAGGAAAAACTCAAAGCAGCATAAAGAGTGCCTGGAAACAGAACCAAGCAGACGACAGCAGTGTCTAGGCAGGGCCTTTCACCAGTGTATATACTGTATAGGAACAAGTAACAGGTTTATTCCATGCTGAAAAAAAAGAAGAAAGAAAACACAACGTTTCGGCCGTGGAGCCTTCTTCAGTATGAAGAAGCACTGGAATCAGTAACAGTATTCTTCATCATCATCATCATCATCTTATAGTGCCCTTCATGTAAAAAAAACCCCAGCGACCTGCACAAGAATCAGCCCAAGCCTAGCAACAGGTTAGGGTACACACAGCAATAAGAAGCAGGACAAACAGAATACCAGCCAGGCAGTTGCTCTGTGCTCTCAGTCTCTGGCCTGTCTGCTTCCCTTTTTTATCACTTTTCTTACTTCTGCCGTCAGACTGTCTGGGAGTGAAAATCACCAGACTGATGTTGTCACGAGTGTGAGCCAGACTTGTTCTGGAGGTCCAACACAGACAGCTCCACCTTACACTCACACACACGCACACGCATGCACACACTCAAGCACTCATGCCAACACACACACGCTCGCAGGCTTGCACACACATGTATACAAACACGCACAAGTATTCATGCAGACGCGCACGCACACTCCCACGTGCACAGACACACACACACACATGTTCACACACTCACTGACATGCACACATATGCACAAACACGAGCACACACACATGTTCACACATGCACACACATGTTCACACACTCACACTCGCTGACACACACACATATGCACAAACACGAGCACACACACACATGTTCACACACTCAGTGACATGTACACACATGCACAGACACACACACATGTTCACACATGCACACACATGTTCACACACTCACACTCGCTGACATGCACACACATGCAAGCGTCCACACACTGCTCAGAGGTGTGGTGGACCAATACCGACGTCATTACCCTTTGACAGGTGTCACATACTGTACTCTGTGAGTGCGCGAAGGAAACAGCGATGATGTGGATTTCTGACACTGTGTGCTGTATTCCCCAGGGAGGAGTGCAGAAGTAAGATCGTGCTGGGGGCCCACTCCCTCGGGGCGTGGTCTTTGAGATCCAGGCCTACTACTCCCACCCCGAGTTTCTCCCTGATCAGGGCTTCAACAATGACATCGCTCTGCTGAAGGTACGCGAGTTTCTGCAGTCTGACTGCACTGATCTCACAGCAGCTGAGGTACTGCACCATCGCATCCAGAGAAGGAAATACAGTACATATAGCTTATCTCGACTGGCAGGTTGGGAAAAGGAAAGGCCGTGGGCTCCTTCTCTTTCCTGCATTTCAATGTTGGTTGCAGCGAACGCAGAGGAAGGAAAGTAACATTGCAATGGAAGCCTTGATCAGCTGCTGGTGAGTTTTTGGCCTGGAGTCGGCTGACTTGAGCACAGCAGGTTCTGGTTCCACGTGTGTCACAGCAGGGAGCTGAGGTCTGTCACAGTGCCGAGCCAGTGGCAACCTGCTGTGCTGAAAGAGCTGTTTCTTTTTAGGGACAACCATCAAACCATACAGCTCTCGGGGCGCCAGAAGGGTAGGAGGGGGAGATTATCGATGAGGAAAGTAGAATCACTTAGTGAATGGAAACAGACTGATATATTGGCCAGTAGCGATTAGGGTCTGGGCTTGTATCCTGGACTTGCGGGTTCCAAACCTAGGTGGAGACACAGCTGTTGTGCCCTTCAGTGAGGTGCTTCACCCGGAGTGTTCCTTTAAAATACCTTCTAGTGCAGAAGGGTACAAGTATAGTAGCTTAGGAACAAAGTGTCAGCCAAACTCTAACATTGTTTTTGCAGAAATCACAGCGAGAGAGCTCCAGAACAGGTCACAGCTTAAATGGGACTCTGCTTTTAATGGGAGTTATTGACAGAGGCTGGGGAGGGATAAAACAAGTTAATCTCACACAGCAGTTCTTGATTGCCATCATCACAGACAGTAGCTCTAAGATCACTTTATTGGCCCTATACAATTTTCTTGCATTAGGAATTTGTCTTTTCGCACACCCCAGCTTGCTCTCCATGAGACACACAGACAGGGAGAGAAGCTGGGGGTCAGAGCGCAGGGTCAGCCATTTGTACGGCGCCCCTGGAGCAGCTGGGGTTAAGGGCCTTGCTCAGGGGCCCAACGGAGTAGGATTCCTCTGCCGGCCGCAGACCTGTTACGTTGTGCGCTGAGCGCATCTAGAAGCTACCGTGAGCTTGGCTGGCACTTTTGGTATAATGGTCCCGTCAAGGTCCGGTGTTGCAGAATTTGCACGGATTTACTTCCGACTGGGGTTTAGTCATAATGACATCTTGCTAATTTTAGCAAATATTAAATATATGAATCATTATAAGCATGTGTGGGATTGAGAGATCAAAGCAATGATGGTTCCGTTATGAACAGTATGCGCTTCCGTATACCTTCTAAAATATTTGCAGCTTCCTCAGCGATGGCGATTTAAGGACCAAAAGGAGGACGCGTCAGAGTAAATTCAGACATATTATAACTTGGCTTCCAATGGATATTTCAGACGGCTTTTTCCACAGAGGAGCACGACAGGAGACACCATAAAAAGACGAGATGTTAAGATATAGGACATAGTTACGAGCATTTAAACCCAGAGAAGTTGTGTTAATGTTGTGCACTGCAGGAGCAAGGCCTCAGTGACAATACTGTGTTCAGACTGTGGTCGCCGCAACACTGTCATTTCAATACAAAAAAACAAAGCTGGCGATGCTCGGCATGTCCTGTGCATTAACAGGCTGGATGAACTGAACCTTTAAATCTTGGAACAGGGGGACCTAACTGAAGTATCCAAAATCCTCAGTACTACTGGCAACAATCCTCTTTCCTTCTTCAGGATAAGCGTGAAACGCGAGCCACAGAACACGAGTGAAAAACACAGGACAGCGCCCTTTAAAAAACAAAACAAAAGTTTGTAAAGAGCGATAACTTTTATTAACTTGGGAACAGATTGTGGGCTTGTGGCACAACAGATTGTGGGCTATCGCGAATTATAGTATCTCACGACTGCAAATGACCTCCTTTATAGCGGGTCCGTGTTCATCCCGCGTCTCCATACTCCCCCGCCTTCCTCATCCTCCTTCCTGCGAAGATGTGATGTCCGTGGAAGCGCGGCTGTGGTGTCAAATATCACCGCCGCTCATAACCCGCCTCGCAGGCCCCCCGACCCTCGTCCAGCGAACGACAGTGACCCGGCCAGGAGACAAAAAACCTGCACGCCGCACTTCTGTTTCCTCAATTATTCTTTTTCTGCCTCCAACCACAGAAAGTTTCGCCGAGACAGCGCTATTTTGTTTTCCACCCCTCCCTTTTCGTGGCGTATAAGACGGGACCCCGTCGACGGGACCCCCTTCATTCTCCAAACCCGCGGACACCATGGGACCGAGACACTACGCACTGCTCCTCGTAGCCGC